AGAGCAAAACGCCGCGGCGGGGCGCGGGCGCACTCACCGGTCATGCTGTCAGTCTGGGTGCTGACTGACCGCCCGGCCCCCGTGATCTCCAGGTTTTGCATCTGCCCTGCTTCCTTCCACCCAAGCCCGGCGGCCTCCGCAGCCCGGCACACCCTCGCGGTTAGGCATGATCTTGGCGCCACATACTCCACCCCCCTCTCCCCGGCGCAGCTCGCAGCAGTCGGATGACGCAGACGCCGGCCGCCACTTCGGGCGCTTCTGTGACGCCAGAACAAGGCGGGGACACCGTGATGCGGGCTGTCCCTCCAGTGCCGACTGGGTGGGTCGGGAGCGCGAAGCGGTCACTCTGTTGAGGCCGGCTTTGTGCTGTCTCTCCGGTATTTGGCTGCCTTGGTTGGTTTTGCCGAAGGAAGGTTGCTTGAGGATGTCTTGGTTTGAAGTCGCAGCTGCGTCATGAGCCGGGCTCAGGCTTGAGATTTGGGGTCAGAGAGGTTATAGAAATGGAAACCTGCCATGGGCGAGGCGCGCGGGGGGGCGCGGGGGGGGGGGAGCGGTGCGGAGGCTCAGTGGTTGAGCATCAGGACCTATGAACGGGAGGTGGAGGTTGGATTCCCAATCAGGGCACATGTCTGGGGTGTTGCGGGCTCCATCCCCAGTGTGGGTTGTACAGGAGGCAGCCAATCGATTCTCTCTCCTCATTGTTTTTATCTCTCTCTCCTCTCCCTTCCTGTCTGAAATCAATAAAAATACATTTTTAAAAAAAATGGAAACCTACTCTGCTCTATCTGTTATGGTCAAGGTCTTAGAAGCACCCAAGTGAAAGGGGTGGGAGCTGGGGGTCCAGATAGTTGTTAACATCAGAGATTGGCCGGTGCCAGGACCACCACTGGGATGTTCTGCTTTGTGGACCTTGAGAACGAAGATACCTATAGAGAAGGGCTCCTGGTGGCCAACTGGGCTTAAATTTAAAAGCAGAGCCTAGCAGCCATTTCTAAACAGGGGCTTCTTGGGGGGGAAACCTGCACTGAACTGCCTTCCTACGCTGTGTTCCTACCACCAGAACCAGCCCTTATAAGGGAGTTCCTGGAATTGTATTTCAACCAATAAAACTAAGACTTTCCCCATCCAATCAGTGCTCTGCAGCTATATCCATTAGCATCTTCACTGACCAATCAGGACATTACTTTTTGGGGATAATCAAACTGTGCCGATTTGAAGTCCTCATTTGAAGGGACCTGGGGCAGGGACTTCTGTCTGTGTAAGTCAGCTTCCCTCTGGCTGAGAGTGCACTTGCCCTTTCCATGGAAGACTGAAGACTGGTTTGTTTCTTTCAGCTGGAGCTGAAACACCTTGCCACTTCATAATTGAGCTTTAATGCAATTGACCTGTTCCACAGCACAGCTGTATTGCAATTGAGCTATTTGCATTGCATAAAGATTCCTTCAACACACCTCAAATTAGAGATTCCTGTTGACATTCAATTGGCATCAACGACCACTTATCAAACACAGGAAGACATCAAGAGATAGAACTGTGATTATCAGGAAGTTGAGGGTAGGCAGCAGAAGTGGGCCCTGGAAAATCTGAGAAGTACTTGACGTTGTAGATTTGTGCCCTGAGCATTTTATAAGTGTCCCAGGCCCTCCCTCCTCGCGACTCATTCTGTTATCACAACTTGAAATACTGACAACATGGCATTACAACTGATTTTTTAAAGCAAAGCTGAATGCTATTAAAGTACTTTGTAAAGGACTGAAGTGAGACTCTTCAGTGTTGACGGGTATGGCTGTGGTTCATTAATTTTTACTGCTGTAGAGTACCACAATTTATCCATATTTGAGCTGTGGATGAAAACGGGCCACGTGCTAACCTGACTAGCTCAGGGAAGGCCTGTGTGGTGGCCTTGCAAACTGAGAGACCTAAAGTAACCACAAAGGATGGTCTGAAATGAAAAATTTTAATTAAAAAAGCAGTTTATGGTGGGTAGTCATATCCTAGGCCTGTATTTTCCCTGACAAAGGTCAATCTTTACCTTAACTGAGCCTATTATCTTTTTGCATCTACAGTAACATGTTGTTGAAATTCAAAGTAATTTTCCTTTTTCCAGACCCCTCAAAGCACAGGCACCACTCTGCAAGATGACAAATACCCTCATTATTATTGAGTTAATTGTTGACTTTTAACTATCCTGCACCCATCTAAGTAAAAGATGTATGTGTCTATCATTTTACTTTTTATCCAATCCCAGAAGTTTCCCCACTTTGCTTTTTCCTGCCTCCCTAATCTATCACCAGTAGATTTCATGTATCCCACTTACATCTCCTCTTTTGATTATAATGTACAAAACAAGATGCAAAACTGCCATTCTCTGGAGCATTATCTCAATCCATTGAGATTCTGCTTCCTGGCAATTGTCGACAGTTTGGCTCAAATAAACTCACAAAAATTCTTCACAGGTTTGAAAGTTTCTTACATTAACATTTGGACCATCTCCAGCTTTATGCTATTGCAAACAATGCTGCTATAAACATGTTTGTACATGTTTCCTTATCCTATATTCCTATATAATAAAAGGCTAATATGCAAATTGACCAAACAGCAGAACGACCAGTTGCTATGACGTGCACTGACCACCAGGGGGCAGGCGCTCAATGCAGGAGCTGCCCCCTGGTGGTCAGTGTGCTCCCACAGGGGGAGCGCTGCTCAGCCAGAAGCCCTGAGCTCATGGCTGGCGAGTGCAGCAGCAGTGGTGGGAACCTCTCCCACCTCCGCAGCAGTGCTAAGGATGTCCAAATGATGGCTTAGGCCCGCTCCCCGGCAGTCAGACATCCCCCAAGGGCTCCCGAACTGTGAGAGGGTGCATGCTGGGCTGAGCCCCCCCCCCCCTGCATAAATTTCATGCACCGGGCCTCTAGTGTTCTTATAAAAGAGTTTCTTTAGAGACTATACTTATAAGTAGAATTTTTGTGTTGCTACTATCAATTTATGAAATAAAGCTGAAAAGCTTTTCAAAGAGATTAGACCAATTTACATAGCTCTATGTCCCCATGGTTCAATTCCTGGTCAGGGCACATGCCTGGGTTGTGGGCTCCATCCCCAGTGTGGGGTGTGCAGGAGGCAGCCAATCAATGATTCTCTCTCATCACTGATGTCTCTCTCTCTCTCTCTCCCTTCCTCTCTAAAATCAATAAAAATATATTTTTTTTCATAATGGGCAAACGACTTGAATAGTCACACCATAAAAGAAGGTATACAGATGACAATTGAGCACATGGAAAAAAAAAGTTCACCATCATTAGCAATTCAGGAAATGCAAATTAAAACCATGATGAGATATCACTGTATACCTATTATAAAAGTACCGACAGAACCAAATGTTGGCAAGAATGCAGGGCAGCTGGATCTTTCATATACTGCAGATAGGAATATAAAATGGTGTAGTCACTCTGGAAAACAGTTTGACAGTTTCTTATAAAGTTAAACATATGCTTATCATATCACCCAGCAATCACATTCCTGGGTCTTCATTTTAGAAGAATGAAAACTTATGTTCACATAAAACTCTATACATAAATGTTCATAGAAGTTTTATTTGTAACTAGAGGCCCGATGCACGAAGATTTGTGCAAGAATGGGCCTTCCCTCCCCTGCTGCCGGCACCACCTTCGCTCCGGCCCGGAGCCACCTTTCCACCTTCCCACGCTGCCCAGAGGCCCGGAGCGGCTGGGGCGATGTGGAACACCTGCATTGTCACCATGGCGATGATGCAAGCATACCACCCTCAGCTGCTCGGCACCTGCATATGCAAATCAACCCACCATCTTTGTTGGTTTAATTTGCATACTCACTCCTGATTGGCTAGTGGGTGTGACAAAGGTACAGTCAATTTGCATCTTTCTCTTTTATTAGTGTAGATAATAAAAAACTGGAAAGAAGCCAAATAACCCACAATGAGTGAATGGTAACGAAACTAAGGAATATCTATGAAATTAAATACTACTTAGCAATAAAAAGGAAGGAACTCCCCTGGCTAGATGGCTCAGTTGGTTGGAGCATTGTCCCATATACTGAAAGGTTGCAAGTTTGATTCCCAATCAGGGCTCATACAGGAGGCAACTGATCAATGTTTCTCTCTCTCTCACTTTCTCTCTCTCTCTTTGAAATCAATGGACACATATCCTTGGGTGAGGGTTAAAGAAAAAAAAAATGAAAGAACTATTGATTCATGCATCATCTTGGATGAATGTCCAGAGCATTGTGCTAAGTTGAAAAAGCCAGTCTTAATGGGTTAGGCACTGTATTATTCTATTTTACATACCATTCTCAAAGTGAAACTACTATAGTGATGGAGAATAGATCAGTGGTTGCCAAGTGCTTTGTTTGGGAGAAGGGTGTGACTGACTATTAAGGTAACTAAAGGAAATTTACTTGTATTGATAGTCACTCATATCTATACAGATGAAAAAATTTCATAGAACTGAGATAGCATAGGAACTTGGGCCCAGAAATGGAAAATACAGGGTGACCAGGAAGCCAAGTTAAGACCAGTTGGTCAGAAGGAACTTTGGATAAGCTGACTACAAAAATGTCACCACCCCTCCACTCCCTTACTCAAATACACAGAGATAGCTGATTTTATCTCCCTTCTAACTGGCATGCACAGTTGATCAAGGTTTGACTACCAGAGGACCTTCCTAGGGTTGCAGTAATGAGCAGTATGCCATCTTTCCCCAACAGCGCAGGCACTAACTTAGGCAACACACTTGAAAAGGAAGTCACCAACCCTAAAATGGAAAATTCCTCAAATCTGCTTTAAAAAAAGCCCGCCTTTTTATATAAGCCTGCTTTGTCCTCAGCTTATAAAAGCAGCCAAGCAGAGCCAACCTCTGAGCCAGTTCAGAGGACTGTGCTGCCTACCTTGTACTTCAGTATAAGCTTAATAAAATATGTCTGGAAATTTCTCTGGTTTCCTCTTGATTTCTATCTTGGGGAACCCAAGAACCCCAACACCAGTAACAGAACTATACACCTAAAAACAAAAGTAGTGTATTAAAAGCTAGCGAAATAAAAATAAGGTCTAGAGGAAGGAAAATGGTGGAGGTTTAGACGGACGTGTTGGTGCTTTGTCCCGGACCAGATAAGGGCGAGCAGCTGAAACGGGTAACATACAGCTCGAACAAGCAGAGGAGATTCAGCTGAGAGACAGTCTGCAGCCAGGAAA